GTAAATGTCATAAAGAGTTGACATAATGTAATGGAAGGTTGACACAATGCAATCGCAGTGTTCTGCTATAAGGCAGTGAAGGCGTTCCATACATATACCTTATTTGGCGTGATTTTGCGTGTAGTTCACGATACTGTTTTTTCGCATGAAAGTTATTTGGACAAAATTTTCACAAGTTGTGGTTTCTGTTATATAATATACTTCATAATACAAATATACACAAGAATATTAACAGACTCGCGTAATTACGAGAAAATAGAGTCGACGAGAAAAAAGTGAAATCAGTAGCCTGGTTTTGATATTTCTGTGAATCTTGTGTGTTTATCTAATCACAATAAGCTGCTGTCATTTATTGAAAATGATCCGTACAAAATTTACACGGTGGATATTGTGGCCCACAAACCCATTATTTACAATTTTGTGATTTCAGTGATATAATTTTAAACATTGTGAGATTTCTTTCGCAATTTTTTTATGTCTATTGAATTGACGATGGATTTCCGATTATGACAAGGAACACACGGCGGGAATGACAGGTCATCAGGGGATACTCACTCCTCCATCGGACCTGATCCCACCTCTGATGTTCAGGAGGTCTATATTTGCACTGCTCCTAATTTGTTTTGTTTTATGGACTAAGATATCAAATACTTTTCATTATCTCCATATACTTCATGATACCAAATCATATATGTATAAGAAGTATGTTTTACCCACATTATCAACATAATAATAATATTATTACTTTTTGTACCTCTCATTATAATATCCAAGTCTTTGAAATTTCTTTCGCATTTAAATATGATTGACTATAAATTAATCATTTTTCTATGCTACATGTATATATTTGTTTTGGATTTCTGATATTTTTTCAGCAATCCTAAATTTAAACTGGCCAGTTTATTGATATAGACATGTATATGTATGTGCTTCATGGGGTTTTATCTCTATATAACTTGCAGATAGAGTCGTTCTTTCCTCTATTAGGCATCTCTGATTTGGGTTCGCATCAGAATATTTAGACATTGAGCATAAATATTATATATATTATTGGACTAATAGTTATAAGGTTTTCTAAGTCCTTAAAAGACGATAATTAGAGCAAATGATTGATAATGATCAATCTAAAATGCACTGTTTTTTTAAAAAAAAAACAGTTATACACGCAAGTTAAATACAGAGGGCAGAGAGTAGATTTGTCTTTAATATTATGAAAAACGTGTATGACACCTGATCCCACCTCTAATCGTTCTAGAGGTCCGTGTTTGATCTTTTCCTGATTTGAATTGTTTATGAATGGACCTTGTTCTTTATTTCTATACAGTCATGTATATTTCATAGGTAGAACAGAAAGTGAATTACTTTTAATTCAATCCTGATTGCATAAGTATGGTTTGTAATCTAGTTATATTTTCTTCTATTTTTATTTTTTTACTTTACTATATTTTTATATTTGACATATACTGAGTTTAAGGAAAATAATTAGCATAGATCGATGCTTTTGAAAAAAAATGCTTAAAATCTTATATAAACTATCAAATTAATTTCTTTGTAGATTAATGCTTAATATGATAATTTATCTAGTGAATAAAACATATAACAAAAAGCTTGACTTTTTATTTGTTTGGTAATATATGAAGAGTATTGACTAGAATATTCTGGTTTTAAATCAGCAGATTGCAAACTGACTCAAAATCTGCTTAATTAATTTTTTTTTATAAACTGCAAGACACAAGTTTGACTGACCTGTATTCAAGTTCATACCTTCAATAAAATTATAGTACTTTTCAAAAAATGTAGAAACTTAAAAGTGTCATAATATTATTTGTTTGAGAAGTATTATAGACAAACCTAGCATTTCGATTGTATATGTGGGACTTTCTGCAGGAAAATGGTCAGAAATTGAGTGTGTTATGAAAAAATCTTAGGTTTTATGGCTTGTATTTTATGATTGGATCTATACATGTATACTAGCATTCTTTTTGAACACGACTAATCAATCAAAGCAAATCGCCCACAGTCTGAATTGTAAAAAAAAAGTTATCATTTTGATTTATAATTTTTCATTCGTAAAGTACCTTCAAAACAGTCTTAAATACTCTCAGTCTCTAATTGCTTGAATCATTTTTTTTTTCTTCAGCATTGCACCACAATTTCAAATAGATTTTGAAAGTTAATTATTTGATAAATACATGTACTTGTTAAATTTTAAAGCCCATTTCTCTCATTATATTAACTGAAAAACATAGCTAGTAAGTCACTTAAAAGACATACATACTTTATATACTGAAAGGAAAAAGAAACGCATAAGAACATAATTATATGGGAATGTTTTTTGACTATGTGACCTAAAATTATGAAAATTGGTCAGATGTGTATTTTGATTACTTTGCACTAGAATCGTTAGTCAAAATTACTCAACCATGAAATGTATGGCGTCACGTAGAGAAAATGATAAAAAGTCAAAAACACGTGCATGTTGATGATGATAATTTTGTGATAAAATTTTGTAGTGTCATACGATGTATTAGAGTCATAGACATCGTTTTTGCATATTTGCAGTTCGTATAAATGTTTTGCAATCGTGGTATGGCTGACGTAATCTACTGTGGGTTTAGTAATTGAATTCAATATTGCATAAGTGAATAAAAAGGCAAAAACATGCTGCTGTTTAGATTGTTTTCAACTTTTCAACCAAATAAAAGTTTTTTTGGTTGTCAGAGTGTTAACTTAAAATTTTTCCAACCAACCATGACACTGACGTTTGCGCGCAACAACGTCACAACAAGATAGGTCTTTTCATCATGCCACCTCAGTTATTGTCAAGGCATTATTACTGAAACTGATTATTTAGCAGACAATCATACTAATTTTTTTCACCCTGAATTGACAGAAACTCTCTGCTCTAAATTCGGCCGCGAGCTTGGCCACTTTACGTCGATTTTACTCTCGAACAGGCACGTACGCGTCGTTTGTGTGATTCTTTTAATTTTAGCCTGTTTACACTGGAAAAATTTAGTTTGTCGAGACATTTTTTAAAAACATCCACGTGTACCAAACCTGCTGGGTTCTATCCTAAATCGAAAATTTGTATTCGATTGGGCGGTTGGATTTAGTTTGTTGACTTTGGAATAATACAGTTAATATCAACCATTAAGACTACCGTCGGAAGGGTTGAATAATAATGATCTGAAAAAGATAAATGCTCTGGTGAACTCAATGCACAGGAAAATCAAGTTTGTTACTGATGCAAAAGGGAGATTATGAGAATTTTAATGAATTAGCACTCAAAATCACACAAAATTTTGGTAACTTGTTGATTAAAGATGAATTAAAATGTAAGATAACAATGCTGGAAAACATATGAGAAATAATTGTTTTGATTTAACTCAAAAGTTTAATATTCGTTTCTTTATCCTTTCAGTATATATTTATTGTCCATACAACTACGTCCTTAAAAGTAATTTTTAGCAGGCATTGGATACATTTATTAAAACTAGATTTTAAGTTAATTTCACTTGAAAAACTGTATCTTTACGACCCCTGGTCCACGGAACACTTACTGCTCAGTATCTTAGACTGTGAAGAGAATTATTACTAATCACGACCAAGTCGCTTTACAAGGCTCGCTAGTTAAAATAAACTTGGTATTTCGTTCATTGTATTCAGTTGATGAAAATAGATGGCACGGATTGCCCAATTCATAAGCTAGCTTTGTTACAACGCAAAATGTAATGACAACACGAAATGTAATAAACCTGAATTATTACATTTTGTGTTATTACATTTTACGTCGAGATCTATGCAAAATGCAACAATCCTCAAAAGTGTCTTGTCTTACATTTTGCGTTGTAACATGGCCTTAAGTCTTTAAACATAGAATAGTGTAATTTAAGAGATGAATTTCATGTTTCAGAGGTTCATGGGGACATGAATCACGATGCTTCACGCCTGTGTAACGCTCTTTATGATAAATAGGATTAAATACCGTATATATAAGTAATTTTTTGCGAGAAGCAATTATAAATAACGATTCTTATTTCTTGGTACCGTATTTAATTTTGGCAGGAGGTGAATTTAGCGATTTCAATGTTCTGAAAGATATCAATAACCCCAAATAAAGGAATAAACTGTTCGCGATATTTTATTTAAACGATCTCAACACCAGTGCTTTAAATCCAAAAATTAAATCCCCGTTAAAATTTCTGCTGATACAGTGTATATATATGCAAGCGAGAAGCGAGTAGTTCATGCACCACATGAATTCTTAAAAATCGAATTCCTATCTAATGTTTACATTGTAGAGGGTTTTCTACATATTTTTTTTAGGGGGAGGGGTCATTACAGGCGCGTAGCATCGTTTTTGGAAGTGGGGGGGCCAACCTGAGAAAATTTTTTTTTTTACTTACCTGAAAAAGTTGACAAGCAAAAAAAAAAAAAACAAAACAAAAAAACAAAATAAAAAAAAAAAAGAAAAATTAAAAGTTGCCCGAAGTCGAAAATCCTATTTCGTAAGGGGGGGGGGGGGGGTAGTGGCTAACTTTTTTCAAGACCAACTATCTTTCAAATCAAACTAACACTACCCTTTGCTGAAATGTGGGGGGCCAACCTTCCTTTCAGTAAACATTTTCTATAGTAAAGGTAATGTCGGCAGAAAAAGTGGGGGGGCCTGGCCCCCCCTGGCCCCCCCTGATACTACGCCCCTGCATTATCAGTTAAAAAAAAACAGTTGCAAAAACCAAATCGAAATGCTTAACACGTGTATATGCGCATTTTTAAGGACGAGGAATCAACGGGGTATCCACTGATCTCAAAAAGTTAATCCTATTATACGATTAATAACAATTATCCGCGTCTTGTGAATTAATTATATGAACAGCGTATTTTGTAATAAAAGCTTCAATGGCATACCTTTTTAATGGTTTTTAATCATTTTATAAATTAATTGGTAATCATTAGAAATAGGAAACAAAAAGATAAAATTTCAGATGATAGGCGGAGTCGGATGTTTTAAAATATTTGATACCGGAAGTGTCGGGTTATTGAGGGGTTTCCTATGCAAACTGGTAAAAGACAGTTAATCGAATTGAAATTGCAATAAAGTTGACTCTTTAGAACTTTAAATGAAGAGCTATCATTTATATTTCTAAACCAGCTTGCACATTCGCCGTTCCAATTAAAAAACGGCTCCGAACCCAATCCGTTTAATGTATTTAAATGAAGACTCCAAACGGATATTAAATTTCAGTAGATTAAACGCCAATTTTAAAAATTCATTAACACTGGCGCTTGCACTCTGATCGGTTTATTAAAACAGCAGTGAACAATATAGGTAGTGCTTTGAACATTAAGAAGGATTAAACATTAATTCGCACCTGAATTACGTAGCGGTAGTCTTTTAAGTAGATGTCATTGTAGAAAAAAAAATTGGGGTCAATTTCGTATTGCCTTTGACCGCAACTGAGGTTTCATTCACTCCCGGAAAAAAAGATAGTAATTTTGAAAAATTATACGCTGATATCGACCCATCATTTTTAAAGAAGGGGATGTCCTTTATTTAAATGATCTACTTGCGATGGATTTTTACACATTGATTTAATGTGGTAAGTACTTTATAATTATGTCAATTATAAAAAAAAAAGAAAAAAAGAAAACTACGGCGATGTGTATTTCATCAAAATGTAAACAGACTTTCCTCCAATTCATTATAAAAATAAATTTAGATTTTTATTTAAAAAACGGGTTTTAGTATTTGTATTTCAAGGATTCCATATTATTATTATGATTATGTTTATTCTCAACATTCATTATTATGCTTTCCATATTCTTGCATAGAATAATTTCTACAAAATATTTTGAGTTGCTCGCATCTGATTTTCTTTTATATTTCATAGATGACAGAGTCATAATGGATATATCGTTAACTCCGTTCAAAAGACGTTACGTAGAAAACTGGCGAAAAGATGTTCAAAAACATCTTGAGGAAGGATCCATATGTCGTATAGTCGTAGCGCAAATTAACAGGTAAGATAAACTGGTCAAGTTAGGCGGTTTATTCTTTCATCAATAAATCATTTACTTGAATCTCAATTTTATAACAGTATACAGAGATTACAATAACATATCTGCAGCTGGAAACATGTTGTAAATTTTGAATTTACATGCAGAGTTGCCGTAAATTCAAACTTTACATTGCAGAACAAGAATTAATTGAAATATAACTTATCAATATACATTGTACCAAGAAGAGAAGTCCGTGATATTTATTGATAATATACACATGTAAGTAGTTACTATATTTTATTTATTTCTTTTTAGCGAAGATGAAGAAAATTCAGAATCTGCACCGAAGCCAACAACACCTCTCCCACCTCCATCGGGAAATCGCGCGAAGCAAGTCTCGCGAGAGAAAACTCCAAACGAGAAGTTAGCAGATATGGCAGTCAGTAGTTCTCTACACATCCACGCCCTCCCATCAGTCCGATTCATGTACACTAACGCCATGGAACAAAAGAAAAATTCCGAAAAACTTTACGGAGGTTTTCCCGTCGCTGGTCGGCAAAGTTCGCGAAAAGACGCTCAGGAAACTGTTAATTCACAGGAAGATGAAACCGAGGCTAAGCCTCTTGTCATCGTTGATCCTCAACTTATGACTCCCGTAGACCATCCAGAACTGAGTACGCAAGAAAATAAGAAACCAAACAGTAAAGATGTTCGTTTTCCGATGAAAATCTCGTCCTTAAAACCTCAGGTCGAATCCAAAAAATACAGCAGATTGCCGCTTTTTGCCAAATGTAAAATTCAATCAACAGAGAGAAACAGTTTTGTGGTTTCCCGGTCAAATTTTCTGAAAAATGGGAAAGCAAAGAATCACAGTTTCTTAACCCTCCCGGTGCGGTTCCAAATTCAAGCTCAGACGAATGAACGTTTAATTCAGAGTTCTGAAAATTACATTCTTAAAGAGAAAACAAATTTAACACAAACACCTAGGAATGATGTGAGATCCCCACGAAAGGTAGATTTTCCCCTCCCTACACCCCGTATAGCTTCCAATACTGTCTGGGCGTGGTAGAACGGGGCTGTTACCATTTCCCCGCCCCCCATCGTAGCATCCAAAATTGTTTTGAGTTGGTAGGGCGGAGTAGTTTTGTTCCATTTCGTGATAATTCCAAAGACTGTCTTTTGCTAAATTGATATTACTATAATTGTTCATTTATTGAGATATTTTGATTTTCGCCCATAAAATTTAGATTGTTTTCGTCAAATATCTTCGAGTCAACTGAACAATGGTAAAAGTCTTGCTTTAATTTTTTTTCTTAAGGTAATCCATTACTAATATTTAGACAATACTAGTGAGAAAGGTTTGAATATTTTAACAAGATCAGGAATTCAGTTGACATTCAGTTAACATAAAATATATGAGTACTTCATATAAAAATAAATTATAGTATCCTTTAATTATTTAAAAATACAGCTTGGCTGGTTTAAAAAAAAAAAATAAAAACTATTTCAATTTGTTTTGAACTCTTTCATAAAATCTTGTTTTCTCGTCGTATTATTTCCTTATACTTGTGTTGTATAAGAATTGAAAATATATCTTGTGACATAGCTTATTTAACATGTCAGAAAACAATATTTGGATTTTCCACCTGTCAGCATACGAAAATTTAATAAATCCTTTTCCTTTGCAACAATGGACTCGAAAGTAAATGCTAATCTCAAGTGGAATAATTTAATAACACCGAGGACTTGTTTCTGTACTGTATAGTAAGTTAATTGATTCTCCTATCAGGATTTTAACACGTAGATACTTGTGCGTTCTAATCCTCTGATGACGATTTTGGCATTTAATTAAACGTACCCATTGTGAAATATCCTTAAGTACTTATTTGTTCGTTGACCTTGAATCGTCATTTTGTGGTCATTATGAAAAAATATATATATGTTGACCTTAAATAAGTTTAAATATTTTATGTACAGTGTATCATTATTTTTATCGTTTTCTATTAGTAAAAGATTGAAAAACACGTCTTGAGTTATGCTTTTCTTCTCTAGACCTCCTAAATAAATGGTTTTCTTGAATGGGAAAATACAACCAAAGTTTGAGTAGAATGATTTTACCTAACAGATTCATCTTAATTAAAACCTTCTGCAATATCTATTTTTCAAAAGACGTTTTGCTGAAACGAAAAAAAAACACATATACATTTGACAATTTTGAGATGCTTTTTCTTGTATCAATTATAATTCTGGCACACTTCTTAACATAATACAAGACGTACATTAAATGCATATTTCCGAAATTATTGTTGCTCGAACAGGTACATGCATATATATACATCTTTAAGTGGGATTTAAATGATCAAACATAAAAGTACCTAAAAATCTCTACTTCAAAAAGCTATAATTAAGCCCTGGTTTCATTCAAGTCATCGATTTAAAGATGCGTGATTTATCATGACGTACATAAAATAAAATCGATTAAAAAATTATAATAAAATCAAGACACTCAATTGCTGCATAAATCTTTCTTAAGTGCATCTAATGATAGCCGAGAGTTAACCAGTGAGTTAGGATTTATAAAGGCGTTATCCTTCATATCCTTGCTCCCCTGTAAGGAGTCCAGAGAATTTCCCAGAATTCCCGGAGAAATTGTTTCCTGTGTTTCAACATCGTGCACTACACACATCACGTGATAGACATTGAGTTGATTTGCACGATATTTACCTAAAATGGAATAAATAAAAGAAAACAAATAGTTGATTATGTAAACGAAATAGTTAATGCAACTTTTTAAAAGAATATCAGTGACAATGATTTTGTTTCATGGAAGGCTATTTGTATTGTATGCAGATTTGCTCTTGTATTAACATTCGCTTTCCTTCCGCTCTTTTATTCTAAATTATAAAATTTTAGTACATGTCTCACCCAAAACTTTGTCATAAAAATTTCAAAATTTCCGTTTCGCTTACATTTTCACAGTTGTTTATTTATACTTACATGCAGTTTTATATTCCGTTCTTTCTGCGCATGTCACATGTCTGTAGTCTTCGCACCTTAACGTCTGCAGAGAGAATAGATCCGGAAAAGGACACTCTCTCATGTGCTGCACAAAATTGGGAGGAAGGGTGTTGTATTTGGTGGAACAGTCGTAATATAGCTGACATTCCCTGGGATGGGGCAACACGAGGGAGGAATTCTGCTGACATAACTTCTGGACATATATATCTATGAAATATAAAGCGTATGTATGTATCATAAACTCATATATTTATTTTTATTTGTGTGCTTTTGAAACATTCTTAGTTTGTAATTATGATCTGACGCTTATCTTTTTTTTTAATTTATACAAGTGTGTGAAAATTGGCAAACACTGCACTAAATCGTCATTGTTTTCTAGGGTGTATGTTGTATTAAACGCTATTATTCGCATATGTTTTGTAGAAAATCTATATTTCACTCGTTTACATGTATCTGTACGAGGAGGGGAAAAATCCTTTTTTAAAGTCATGATCTTTCAAAGGTGCTCATATATCCTGCTTCCTATTTTTTCGAACAAAGCATTTAAAACTCTAGGCTCTCAATCCCAATACCTCGAAATCACACATGTGAATGGTGCCTGATGAGCCCAAATCGAAAGGATCGGCCTCGGTTGAAAATATTATTTATAAATGGTTACGATGTTTTTCAAAAGGAATGATTGTTTAGCTGAATTTCCGAGAAAATATATTAATCTTATATCAATCATTGAATTTTATTTCCTTTCGCAATTCTTTGTATCATTTCATTATCTTCAGGAAAGCTTTATATAAAATCAGACATATACGAGGGGCTATCAAAAAGTTCGTGGACTAGTGCCATAAAATTAAAACCGCTTTAGGTAGATCAATGAATTAAAAAATATTTAGCTATCATCATCTTTTTTATCTATAGAATAAATCACAAATCATAAATTTAATTTTTTTAATAAATTAGTAATGTTTTTGTTAGCAATGGTATGTCCATGCGGCGCAACCTCAAAAACGACGTTTTTTCGACCTAAATGTATTGAAGAAAAACTATTGTGATATGAACATTTGACATCCAAATATCTCGTTATTTCAGGTATGTGTTGGGACATTACTGTTCCATAACATATCAAATTTTTACCTCATTCTGGAAGTTCTATGAAAGTTTATCGTAAATTTTACTTGGAGTATCCAAACAAATATTGCTTAAAAATGACGTCAAAAGGTGGGAGGGGTTTCCTTTTCCAACATTCTATAAAGTTTTGCCCCTAGAAAAACTGGTATACACATAGGAAATGTTTAAACTGGCTACGGAAAAATAATATGCATTCAGATTACTTGTTTTTAATGCCAAAATAGATTCAGAGAGAAAAGGAATGTACAGTTAATGTCAATTTGTAGTGAAGGTGTGAAAAATCAATCACGTCAAAAAATGACGTTGATCATGTGATGTAGATATTGAACTCCAAAAATCAAAATATTCTGGCCCATCAAGCGAGAATCTATACCATTATATAAATCTATTTGCAATAGTATATGTATTGAAAGCTGCTGTTTATGACATTGTAAAGTCACATAAACAAGACGGGTTGAAGCCCTTCTTCAGCTAAAGGGAATCTCATCAAAATAAATGTATGCGGTAGAAAAAGCAGACATTAAAAACAATGACGTTGTCATAAAACTAAACGGCGACGGCGCCGGGTGATGATATAATGTCGTTTTTATTTTATTATAATTTGGGAAATAATGAACATATCAAGCTAAAATTTTCAACATTTCTTTATTTTTTTGTTGTTTTATATTCCTTAAATTTTTGTAAGCTCGGACTACGTAGTACTAATTTTACAGCCTCAGTCCACGAACTTTTTGATAACCCCTCGTACATCTCCTTTTAAAACCATTTTTTAAATATTTTATACGCAACAAAATTATGATTTTATAAGTTAGAGTTTTTTTTAAAAAGAGGGGCTTTCAATCTTTTTAACTATAGAACTAATATTATATTGACTTACATTTGACTGCATCTAATGATTTTATAGGGGCATTTCGATATAATGTCGAATCAAATTTTACCAAATGAATACAATTGAATTGTCACCGGTAAATCAAAATTTAACGCCAAAAGTGCAATGGAAGTTCAAAATTGTTTTGAAGAGTATAGTTTTCAGTTTATATTGAATGTTGAATCGGAAGCAAGGCACAGCTTAAAATTCCCTTTGACTCGATTAAAATCCCACAAATACTCACCGAAAGCGGTTTCTTTTCCAAATATTCTGGCGAACTGCATAACAAGGACAATTGTTAAAGCTTTAAAATTTCCATAAATATCCATGATAATCAAAGAGTCAGAAAAATATATTGTTCTTATGAAAAAGTAATCGGTGGAAGAGAGAAAAGAGAGAATATGAGCAATATTTAAAGGAAAGGCAAACAATATATCCTACGGGGACTCTACCATCTGTTTCCAAAAAGTTATCCTTTTACACGATCAAATCTCCTAAGCCACGCTCCACACACTAATAAATGATTTTGATTGTGATGGATAAGAAGGTGTTGAATTGATGTTTATGAAGGAGTAAAGGAAATCTATAAGCTTATAGGCAGAAACAGAAGTACTTGAAGTCATGAAACATGTAAGAGAAGGCAGGGAATCATAATCGTCAATGCCCGTTGTAATATATTAATTCCAAAAACATAATTTTGGAGATAACGAACAGTATTCAAGATCAGAAGTCCATTAAACAATACAAAATAGGAGCAGAGCAAAACACGAACCACTAAAACATACTGTTTGCGTTGTATAGCTGTGTTCACATACATATAATCTAAATCTAAATAAAGAACGCAGTTTGCAATTTTCAATTCAAAAGTAAACTGCATACTAGAACGCAGATCGCAATTCGAAAATTTAACATAAGCCATGGGGTCTGAAATTTTGAGGATAGGGTAACCGTTTACCACGTCTATGAAAAAGTGGTAATGATACTTTTAGCATGGATCCAGTTTCTTAAAAAATACAATAAGAGATGTATCAATCGTCTCTCAAACTGTTTGTTATCAAAGTTGGGAATCTGTAGAAAAATATATGTGAAAGAAATAAGAACTATTATCAATTAAAATTTTTAAATGACGTCTGTTTAATCTTGTCTACGACAGAAATGAAAAAAAAGCTTGTTTCATAAGCTAAAAAAACAAAAATGAATACTGTATACAGGGAAATTTTCGCCCCCGTTTTATTTTCGCCCCTTTCGCCCTATCCTCATTTGGGCGAATTTAAAACGGGGCGAAATCAAAGAATAGAGTGTAATTTCTTAAACAAAACATAACTCGGCGAATTTAAAACGGGGCAAAATTGTTTGCAAGTGTGAAAGGGCGAAAATAACCCTGTATACAGTATTGATAAGTCTACAAGAAGCAGAATTATGTCAATACAAAAACACAGATTAAATACTTACCATTGCATGGACTGATTTGAAAGCTAAGGAACTCGGAACCTACAATTTTTGTGATCTTCTGTCGTGGTTTTATGGTCGTAATTATAGCGTGTTCAATAGATAAGTCGACCGAGGTAAAAAAAAAAAAAAACGACAAAGAGTGCATGTTCATTTTCCATGTCTAATTCTGTTCAAAAAGCTGGTGAAGTTTTAGTTGGAAGTGCTAAGGAAGTTTTTGGTGTTTATAAAAAAGCCACCTTTTCACAGGATAAGAAAAAATGTGTCTTTGAAAAGCCATGGTTCACAAAAGACTGTAAATCTGCAAGGCGGAATTTTAAAAAAAGCTCAAAAATTGTTTAAACGATTTAGAGGTAATATTTTTAAAGAAGATTTGTATGAAAAAAGAAAAGTTGTTCAAACAAAAATTAAAATCTGCTCGAAATTTTCATAGGACAGATATCAAAAGAAAATTACAGTATTTAAGATCATATAACCCAAAAGAATATTGGAAAATATTAAACTCTGGTGATAAAAATAAATGCTGTAATGTAGAAATATTCAAACTATATGATTTTTATAAAGATTGTTGCAACATAGGAGTAGAGGGAGAGGGAGAAAACGAACATGTTTTGACTGAAGATGAACTAAAATTGTTGTCAAATTCAGAACTCAATAACAGCATAAATCAACCAATCACACATGAAGAAATTACAAAATGTATACATGCTCTGAAAAATGATAAATCAAGTGGACATGACAACATTGTTAATGAATATATAAAATCTACTGTAGATACTATGTCAAATTTTTATGTAATATTATTTAACAAGATTTTTGATTCAGGAATCATACCTTCTCAGTGGACATTTGGAAATATTATTCCATTATATAAAAACAAAGGCGACACTACAGATCCTAAAAATTATAGACCATTACTTTGATAAGCTGTTTGGGTAAATTGTTTACATCTATTCTGAATGAGAGACTTAATCATTATGCAAATACTGTCAATCTTATTTTAGAAAATCAAGCTGGTTTTAGAAAAAACTATTCTACTTTGGACCACATTTTTACTTTGTATGCATTGATTGAAACATCAAAGTATCATAGGAAAAGGTTGTACTGTGCCTTTATTGATTTTGAGAAAGCGTTCGACTCTGTCTGGCGTTTAGGTCTTTGGAATAAAGATTTATTAAATAATATAGATGGTAAATGCTTTAATGTTATAAAACAGCTGTACAGAAGTATTAAATCAAGAGTAGTCTCAAATGGTCTTTATTCTGATCCCTTTCCTTGTACTGTAGGTGTTAGACAAGGGGAAAACCTATCCCCATTTTTGTTTGCCATCTATCTAAACGACCTTGAAGATTTCATGAATTCAAATAATGTAAAAGGTTTATCATTTATAACGTCTAAATTAGAATCGGAGTTTAATATGTATCCTCGATTGTTTGTTTTGCTGTATGCAGATGACACAATCCTTTTGTCAGAAACACCAGAAGACTTACAATACCAATTGGATGTATTTAACAAATATTGTAAACAATGGCATCTGAAAGTTAACACCAATAAAACTAAAATTGTAATCTTTGGTAAGGGCAATCCAAGAATTGAAAAACCAATTACATTAAATGGAAAAACATTAGAAATCGTAGATAATTTTAAATATTTAGGAGTAAGTTTTTGTAAAAATGGTTCATTTAACTTAAATGTGAAAGAATTATCTCAGAAAGCAACAAAAGCTTTGTATGGTGTTATTGGAAAATGTAGAAAACACAACCTTAATGTAGAATGCACATTGGATATGTTTGACAAAATTGTAAAACCTATAGTTTTATATGGATGTGAAGTGTGGGGTTTTAATCAGTCACCATTGATTGAAAAATTGCATTTAAAATTTTGTAAGCATATTTTGCATGTAAAATCATCAACACCAAATTTTATGGTATATGGTGAATAAGGTAGATTCCCCATTTCAATTAATATAAAGGTTAGAATAAGTTTTTGGTGTAAACTATCTTTTTTACAAAGGGATAAATTATCATCGAATTTGTTATGTGTTTTAAAGAACTACAATAATCCATGGTGTGACTTTGTCAAATTTATATTGAATGAATGTGGACTTTCTTATATTTGGCATACTTGTCAACCTGTAAATGTATCATGGCTGAAGAAAATAGTATTTAACACTCTGTGTGATCAGTTTAAACAGACGTGGTATAGTGAAATGTTTAACTCGTCTAAAGGTCTTAATTATAGAATATATAAAACTTCATTTTGTTTAGAAATGTATTTAGTATCTTTGCCTTTTAAGTACTGGAAAATATTTTGTAAGTTTAGGACTTGTAATCATAAATTACCAATTGAAGTTGAAAGATGGCATAATGTATCAAGAGAAAACAGAATTTGTAAATTATGTTCCAAAAATGAAATTGGTGATGAATTTCACTACTTATTTAATTGTAATGATTCACTTATCTTGAATTCAAGGTTATTATTATTATCAAAATATTACTATTCACATCCAAATGTGTATAAGTTTGATCAACTTTTTAATACAAAAAATTCAGTTCAATGAACAAAACTGTGTAAATTTATAAAAATTATTTTAGAGAGAGTTGGCTCTCCTGGTTAGCTCACTGTTAGTTTTGTTACTTGGTACTTTTTTTTTCTTTTTCACGCATACATATATGTTTAACTATACTTGTAATCTTTCTCAACACTGTACTAATGTCAGTTTATGAGAATATATTCCTTGTCATTGTCATTGTCAATTCCATACTAAAAATCATCGAAGTTTTTGTAACAATACTTACTATTTGAAAACTATGAGAGTCGATATTGTTGACGATCACATACAATTTTATCCTCTTTCTTCTGTTCATGTTTTAAGGGCAGTGATAATAAGAAGGTAAATCTTGCAAGTTAAATCAGGAAAAAGATATGTTAGAATGTTTTCATTGGCTTTTGTCATTTTTTTTGCCTTTTATAAATTATACAGCGTGTCTTAATGCTGAGTTGAAATGGTTAATGGGTATATTAATATGAGAGGTGGTCCTGGTATATAAACTTACTTTGTACTTACATGTAGACTATTGATAAACCTTTTTTTTTTAAATGCATATTAATTATGGATCAATGTGTATATATAGATGAAGAAAATATGTTTTTAATCCTCAGATACATGTTACATAATTATGCTCCATTATTTTTTTTTTCATAATTTATGAACTTTATATGCTAGAGAAAGATATAACTGAAGTAATTAGGAGTAATATCCATTATGATTAAATCTTTCGTTTAATTTTCGTCATTATTATTCATTTGCTTATGCAATTATTCTGTAAGACTGTTGAATAAACTTACAATGATTCTTTTCTGAAGTGGTGAAAACAACAGCATTATTTGGAGAAAACGTAGTCGGAGGGGTAATTTCCCAGACAGACAAGGTCAATGACGATGTTCTCATCTCAGCATCGGTTTTATTATGCGTGGTAACAATGTCACTGGGAGGACACCTCAAGCTTGATACTGATAGATTGGTGAGCAGGGTTCCTTTCAATTGGCTAGGAGAAGCACATTCTGGATGGTCTCTGTACAAGGCAACTCTCTTTGATTGAAGAAATCTGACAAAGCTTCTCAACCCACAATCACAATGAAAAGGATTACTATATATTGCACTGTACGAAAGATAAATACATAAATGTATTATGACGACTACAATTAAAACAATTAATTGTTAGGATGAGTCAAGTGATAAAAATACTTATCTGAAAAGAAAAACAACTGTTATGAAAAAAAGAAAATGACAGTAATTTACATTGATGCCAAACTTCAGCATGTTTTCTGAATGCTTAATTTAATATTTAATTTACTAGGTCAATGCTGTATTATTAAATATCAATGAATGTCTCAAAATACCCCTCGGAATCAGATTGTTTTGAAGAATTACTAGTACTTAGAGAAGTAGAAGTATGCTTCAATAAATTGTATTGGGGAAATGAAAATATAGGATTGGTATTTTGGTGATAAAGATACAGAGGTAGATTCCTGAAAAGAATCGCCATGTGCAAACAAAATTGCACCCATGTATTTGTGGCGAATTTAACACTTGCTTCAAAGGGATGACGCATTGACCTAAAGCGGCGCCAAGAACGTTACATCCTAGTAACCAAGTAGTAATTTAAGTCCGATATACTTTTATTTTTTATAAACTTCAAAGTACTTATAGTAATCAAAAAACATTTTTAAAACAAATATATATTGTAGAAGTCTATACATGAATTAAGCGTCACTAGACGAGTAACAGACACGTAGCATAGTTTTTGAAAGTGGGGGTCACCATCAGAGAAAATGTTTTTTTACTTACCTGAAAAAGTTGACAAGCGAAAAAAAAATACGGAAATTAAAAGTTGCTCAAACTCGAAAATCCTATTTCGGGGGTGGGGGCGGAAGGTGGGGGGATAGTGGCCAATTTTTTCAAAGCCAAGTTACTTTCACTTCCGATTTTTTTCCTACAATTCCTTGATATCACTATACTATGGTAAAAAGTGGGGGGGGGGAGCAACCATCCTTACAATGAACATTTTCTATAGTGAAGGTATTGTTCGGGAAAAAAAGGGGCAGCCCCACCCACCCACCCACCACCCCTGTTGCTACGTCCCTGAGTAAATATACGCTATCACCTGTATCTGTGTTAATAAATAGAGGTTCGCAGATATTGTAACTAATTGTACCAAGAGATGAAAGACAATGCATTAATTGCCTAACTGTTGTTGATGATGATCATCATTTTACCCGCACTTTCTAAAGAATGTTACGGAATAATGGTGTTACTCTTGTCCGCCCTTCCGTCGGTCTGTCAAACACTACTACCTGAAAGTCTTACATTTTCCACAGCAGCATGCATCATCGACTTTTCGTAGATGGTTGGTGGTGTCCTGTAGATGTGTATTAAGGCTTCGGAGTTTTCATTTTCATAAAGACTCTGGTTCCCTAAACTCCTTTTACATATTACACAGTAACCTAATCATCTTTTGAAAGAAATAGGTTCGTGGTGTCCTGCAGATGTGTAGTAAGGTTTTAAATTTTCATTTTATCCCTGGGAGTTAAATGGGGGTCGAAAAAATGTATTTTTTTCATGCAGCATCTAGTTCCATGAACCCTTCTTACATTTTACATAGAAGCCTAATCATCTTTTTGAATATGGTTAGTGGTGTCCTGAAAATGTGCAGTAAGATTTCGGAATTTTCCTTTTTCCTCCGGGGATTGAACAGTGACGTTTTTATGCAAAATCCCCTGGGTCACTGAACTCCTCTTACATTTTACACAGTAAAATGTGATTTTGAAATCTTCCCCGGGGGTCAAATGGGGATAAACAATAACGTTTTCTATGCAAAAAGCCCTTGGTTCTTTCAACTCTCTTACAATTTTCACAGAAGGGTAATTATCTATTTTGGAGAAGCTTGATGGTGGATGTGCAATAAGGTATCTGAATTTTAAATTTTTAACCCAGGGTCAGATGGTTTTAATATTTTAAAAATATATAATACCCGGTATGTTCAAACACACTGGTTCCAAGAACCCCACCCCACCCATTTTTTATTCATTGGCCTTAAATCATGATCATTTGGACGATGATTGATTTTGTACTGAGGATGTTTAAAATGTTTTAAAAATTTGCATTTTCATGTGGATGGTAAATAATGGTAGGAAACAAATGACCCTTTCCTAACCTAACCTGATTTAAATACCAACTTAAATCTTCACTTCTTGAGAATGTTTCCGTATTATTTATGCTCTTGTTCTTGAAAAGAATATTAGAATCCTCCCTTTTTTATTCCTATATGAAACTTTGATCCTTTATTTTAACCTGCCTCTACTCTCGGAAGCCATGGTTTGAAAACTAGAAATATGTAAGTCCATAGGACATGAATGCCCCGTCGAATGTAAATTACTAATGCAACATGAAAATTTGTATTTGTGTCTGATGAGAACAGTTCCTAAAATGACCAAGAACTCTAACAATAAAATTGTCAAATTTTTGGGACGCCGTCTGTCCTTTCCCCAGGACAAAGAAAAAAGTCATAAGAATAAAGGGAAAAGAAGAACAAAAAAAAATAATAAACAACTATCACTACTACCAACTATCAAACACTATATATTTACAATGTTATATGTTGAATTCGATAGTTTATAATAAATTGTTAATCTGGAAATCTGGAAGGTTATAAAATATGTCCGGTCTGTTGTGTGTACTTCACCAGTGTACACCCGAGAGACCGGTGTAAAGACGAATAATGACCCCCATCAAATAATGACAAGGAGGGGGGGGGGGGTATTTTTCAACGACAAAAATGACCCTCCACCCGTGGAAAAAAATCATTTTTTTTTGTAGAAAAAGAGTTCTAGGGGTCATTATTTTATATGTTAGTCCTATAAAAAAATTGACCCCCATTGAAATGACCCCCTTTAAAGTGATACAAAATTTATAACAGGTGAAAGGGAAAAATATGCTGTGTATTATAATTGTTCCTCCTTCGAGTAATTCATGCATTATTTCGAATACTAGTAGATTTGATATTTGTTCTTCTTAGCAGATACGAGGGGTATTAGAAAAGTTCGCGGACAAGTTCTATTGTGAGCGCTATTTCCACGAAACCGGTCAAACTTTCCAGATAAAATCTTTACCTTTTTTCCAAGAAATATACAAGAATTTGGTGCTCTCTGGTGATCATTGAAAAATATACAGCTTTTTTTTTTGGATAAAACTTGCTTCACGGAGCATGCTACATTTTGGCATGTTTACATCACAAAGACTCTTTATAAAAATTGCACAATTGTAGCGCAAAGAGATTTATGATATTTTACCTGAACTTGTCCGCGAACTTTTTTAACACCCCTCGTATATTAAATCATTTAAGATACTGTCCAGAACATTCATATAAGAAGAATGAAAACGATAACCTGAAGAACACGAATGAAAGATTTCTTGGTTTCAATCAGTGATTAAAGATCGAGATAAAGTGATTCACAGTAGTTAGAACTTCTATACTTACAGAAGCGATAGTCTTGACAGACCATTAAATGTATTCTCGTGTATGCTGGTTATCCTGTTGTGGGATAGGTATCTAAGATAAATGTAGAGAAAACCAAAAAAAATTTAGTTCGTGACCTGATATATAAAGTAAATATTTATGTATGTAGAGTACGAGACAAACTATTTCATTTTATTTTGCAAAAGCAATATGAACATATTTGTGAGATCTATCCTTAATTTTGTCTTCTTTTTTATGAAATCACTTCGCTATATATCCGTACTTGGTTAATTCCATATAAGGAATTCGTTAAATCTATTTAGTTGTGGATCAAATATAACTTCGCTATATCCGAAAAATCGCAACATCCAAGTTCGTACTAAACGAGATTCACTGTATTTATATTTCTCATTTCTCCTTCAATTTGGAGATTTAACAAGGAAATAAGAATACTATGTGACTATTCACATTTCTCAATTCTCCTTCAATTTAGAGATTTATCAAAAAATAAGCATACTATGTCACGATTTACCTTTCTCGTTTCTCCTTCAATGTAAAGATTTATCAAAGAAATAAGCATACTTTGTCAGATTTTACATTTCTCATTTAATGTAAAGGTGTATTAAAGAAGAAACATGAGCAGCCATTTTTGTTTTATTGATTCCACATTTGGAAACCCTTTTTACGAACTACTTTCATTTTAAATGTCATAAATTATATTCAATCAAAACACTATCTACATTGATGAAGTAAAATATTGACATATATTAATGTCACTTTGGATTATTGATGGGACATCGGTTAATTTTCAAAATCGATTATTGGTTTTAATCGGTTACTGCATCCGATGCTATTTTACCGATTATAATCGTATGTCATAGCTTGGTATATAAAAGCAGACAATTACAATTATTTCATAGTATTTCTTTAACATGAATATATGATTTATTGTTTTCTTTGTTGTTTTGCTTATTTCACACTTTCTATATACATACAAGGTTTACACTAAAATTTCCACTAGCCACGTGGGCTTCTTAAGTTTCAAATTTAGGAGCCTGGGGCTAAATCTGTTAATCCAAAATCTCTTATTTTTTTAACCCGTTGCATACATTAATGGGAATTTAAGTAGATACTAATTAAATAAATACATTTGTTTAAAACGAAAATTGAAGTTCTTAATTTCGCAAAAATATTTCATCATAGGAAATGAAATTAAATTCAATTAACAATTGTACTATTCTATTTCGTAAGGGTATATACATAATGACACCGTAACATGAATATGATTTATTAGTTTAAATATTTTGAAAAGTATCTAGATAATAACACTTTCATTTCATAAGACTGAGTAATTGGATATCTACCACGTATAAACGATAGACTGAGAAATGGAGGAAATTCGGATTAGAAAAAAGACGATCTTTTTCAAGATTTCACAAAGCATGTAGTACTGGTAAATTGATTAGATGAAGGATATTTACGAACAATAGGACCATGTTTCTTTTATTTATTTACTAGTAATTGATTGGGATTTTTAAAGCAAAAACATGTGGAAAACGTCTGTTTTCAGTAAGGGGACTGAAATGGTCCTGCAGATTTTTAATTCGCGACGTGGGCGAACAAGTCACAAATTTAATGAGCCCACAGAAAAATTAACACGCAGTTCCTAAGCACCTCTGCTTTGTGCTAGTTGGCTAGTATCAGAAGCAAACGCCATGTTCTTTCATTCAGAAGAAATAAATTTTAAACTAGAAATGGAGAATTCTGGAATGTACTATATTATACCGTTTGCGGGGGTATATAAGAATCACCTTGTCCGTCTGTCTGTCTGTCTGTACATCTGTCTGTGCAATCGTGTCCGGTCCATATCTTTCTTACAGAGGGACATTAGAATCTACTACTCCACACTAAGATTGCCCATGACCCAAGGGTGTGTCATGACCTTGACTCAAGGTCATTTGGGGAAGTTCAAGGTCACTGGAAGAAAAATTTGATAATTCGTGTCCGGTCCATATCTTTCTTATGGATAAACTTGGTAGATTCTCATTTCACACAAAGATTGCCCATGACCCAAGGGTGTGTCATGACCTTAACCTAAGGTCATTTGGGAAAGTTCAAGGTCACTGGAAGAAAAATTTCAAAATTCATGTTTAATACATGTTTTGTTTTATGGATAAACTTGGTAGGTTCTCATTTCACACAAAGATTGCACATGATTCAAGGATGTTTCATGACCTTGAACCAAGGTCATGTGGGGAAGTTCAAGGCCACTGGAAGAAAAATTTCATAATTCGTGTCTGGTCCATATCTTTCTTATGGATAAACTTGGTAGGTTCTCATTTCACTAAAAGATTGCCCATGACCCAAGGATGTGTCATGACCTTGACCCAAGGTCATTTGGGGAAGGTCAAGGTCACTGGAAGAAAAAATTCAAAATTCATGTTTGATACATGTTTTTTGTGGATAAACTTGGTAGGTTCTCATTTCACACAAAGATAACCCATGACCCACGGATGTGTCGTGACCTTGAACCAAGGTCATTTGGGGAAGTTCAAGGTCACTGAAAGAAAAATTTCATAATTCGTGTCCGGTCCATATCTTTCTTATGGATAAACTTGGTAGGTTCTCATTTCACACAAAGATTGCCCATGACTCAGGGGTGTGTCATGACCTTGACCCAAGGTCATATGGGGAAGTTCAAGGTCACTGAAAGAAAAATTTCATAATTCGTGTCCGGTCCATATCTTTCTTATGGATAAACTTGGTAGGTTCTCAATTCACACAAAGATTACCCATGACCGAAGGATGTGTCATTTGGAAAAATTTCATAATTTGTGTTTGATACATATCTTTATTATGGAAAAACGTACCTCTGAAAGATCCAGCGGGGGGTATTTTGTCCCGTTTGGACAGTTCTAGTAAGAAGTATGTTTCCGATGATCGATTATGAAAAACTGTAATCGATTGTGATGATATTCCCACTTTAAAAGAATGTGAAGAAGGTATCAGAAATATGAAAATTAAATAATAAATCACCAGTAGACGGGATACCGATAGAGTTTTATAAACTATTTTGGAATGACATAAAACATACTACTACGATGCCTTATTAAAATCATTTGAGGCTGAATAGTTAACTGCGACACAAAAATTGTCAATCATAAATCTCATTCATAAAAAAAGGCGATAAATCTATTCTAAAAAATTATAGTCCTATAAGTCTGACTAATTGTGACAATAAGATATTACCATTTGTACGAGCTAGAAGACTACAAACAGTTATTTCAAAGCTCATCAACAATGACCAATCAGCTTATATAAAAGGTGATTATTTATACAGAGAAAAATGACACAAAACTCAATATAGAATTTATATTTATTCATTGTGGTGAGTATTGGCCGTGGCACAATACAAAATTGTGGGACGCCATTTCAGTTGGGCGAACCCACCAAATTCAAACATCAACAATGTGTGTTTCTTTTTTTTAACCGTCCCGGGTTAAGTGCGGAGGGTCAGCACACATACAAACTGTTCAAATCAATCAATCAATCATTCAATCAATCAATAAGTCATATCTCAAATTCCAAATATCAAGCGTATCAACTTATTTTATCAAATCTTGTATACCATATATCATTATTATCTCAAACTTCATAGTTCAAACATCTCAAACTTCAAATATCAACATTTTTCATATTTTAAACCTGTACGATGTAATACAGTTCTAAAGTATATATTACTGTCACCAAAAGTAAGCTTATTAGCTTAGTTTACACTACCATTAGCATTTCAACAAGGTGACAGTTTATTACAAGTTTCACACAAACATTCAATTATCAGTTGACATGGTGTGCGCAGACGCTTCACACTAATGACTTCTCTTTGAAAAAGTGCCACGACGGTTTCTTCTTTCAGTTCAAAATATCAATCCTATGATCGACTATATGCTACCGATTTGATTTTATAAACGATAGAAAGTTTCACAATTTTGCAACACTATTCGCTACGCATATCGCACAGAGACACTTTAGCGCATGTTAAGCACAATCCTTGAGGCTGGCAATGGACTTGATGTGGGCATCATGTGGTAGCTTCTTCACTTTAACTTCTCCTTAGACAGCACCAGAATATTTTTTCTATGGGTATAAGGTATTTATCTCGGAAAGCAGATCAATGCTGTTTCATTGCAAAATAAAGCAAAAAACCAAGCAGCAGAATATTATTCTTTACTTAGAGAAAATGGAACATTCTAAAAAAAGGTAGTGGGAGGGTGGGTTTTTAAAGTTACAAAACAACATTTAATGTATTTTATTGCAAGCAATTGTTATGCGTCTTTATCTTTGAAAGGTTCGGGAGAAAGGAATGTGAAGATCAAACCCGACCTTTTATATACTACACTTGATGTGTCAACCAAACACGACCCTTAACACTTTACAACTTACTGTACTGTTAGCCAACATGCACTGAATGTTCACGTCACGGAAATAGAAATTTACCATTTCCCCGCAAGCACCTTTTAGCGTGGTACACGATTCTCTTAAGTTTAGCGTAAATAATATTATGACGCTATATTTCAATGCAATAATTACTTTTCTTATTCGATGAGACTTTTGCAAGCATAAAATAGAAGGAAATAGTCATTAAAGTAAGGATTAAATGAACTTTTTAAAGTGCGTGAAAATGCGTGATTGCGGGGAAACGGTAAATGCGTGAGTTTGCGTTAGAAATAGGAAATGGTATATGCGTTAAAATGCGTGACTGCAGGGAAGGGGGTTAAAAGCCAACGTTCAAATAACAAATACTTGGGACCTATAAACTAGACTTTTCTCGTAAAATAAAGGTATCTATTTTGTATACACAAATAAATTCTAATATGTTGGATGTAACGCCAGATTAATTCAGGATATTTTTGATCATTGTGAAGATCAAAATTAAAACGGAATTCTTCTTTTCTAGATCTTAGAATGAAAAAGCTTTCGATACTATTGAATGGTCCTTTATGTTTGAAACATTAAAAGCTCTGAATTTTGGACCAAATTTTATAAAATGGATAAAAATATTATATAAAACCCCCAAATTAAGAGCAAAAAAT